TTGGGGCTCATCCTAATTGTCGGCCTTGATGTAACAATATTCATAATTAAGTACATGTAACACCCTTTTCACCCCGGTTACACGTTTCATTTTGCCCTGTACGATGAAAGTGGGGGATGTTGGCTCATCTGGCGCCCGCAGCTCACAGCCAAAATGCGAGCGTGGGAGAGAGGGAGGGTGCACCGGTACCGGCGCTGTTGTTATTAGAATCTGGTGCTAGCTGCTTTAACGGATATAAGAAGAAGATGTTTCTACAATAATGTGGAGGGAGCGTCCTCTCCAGTCAGACTGTGAGGCTGATAACTACAGCTCAGTGAGGTAAAGGACTCTGAGTGTTTAGATAGTTCACTTTAGTCTAAGTTCAAACGGTTTGGTCACAATTTATGTAAACACATATTTCCAAGGCACTCCTTTATAATTATAGGGATAAACAGGTTTGAAATCATTTCAATGTATACTATAGGACAGTAACCAAAAAGATCCTTTAAAACTGGAGATAAAAAAATCCATAAATAAATGTTAAGGTAAAATAAGATATGAATGAACAACACAAATAAAAGTTACATTCATTTCTTATTGGCTGTGGTAGGTTATTGGTTATGTTCACATACTTATTTGATTACATCCACTTGTCTAAGATGACAAGAGACTTTCGACCCAAAACCAGCTCTGTTGACTTGTGGATGCAAGCAGCTGATCGCAGACTCAACCAGAGAGAAAGTAGTAGGCCTACATCATCAGCTACCATGTCTGACAGAGAGGAAGACAGTGAGGAGAACAGTCAGGAGGGTAGTGATGACAGCTTGTAGGATTACTGGTGGTGATAATGTTGTCTTGTGTTCACCTCTGCACGTGTGTTCAGTGCCGTGTGTCTGGCAAATAAAGTCAAGACCCCCTCAAAAGTTACGGTTTATTTCATTTTAAGGATGAGCACCAGGCAACATCTCCAGGTGCTCCTTTGAGAACCAGGGCAACCCCTGGTTATTATTTCCTACCTTACATAGCAGCAACATCATGGTAAGCTCTTGCAAGTTTAAAATCTAAATGGTTTCCACATATATTTTAAACATGAAAATGGGAAACACTACAGACTAATTTAAATTCCTTTAATCGCTGTCTCACAAAAATAGAAAACTTCAAATATAAAAGAATGTTTCAACATTTTGTTACAATACATTCAAGTCCTTTGTAGAAAAACAGTGTTTCTACGGCCTCTGATTTGAAAGGGAGTCTACTTCCTACATGGTGTTTTTTCATTCACAGCACCCCCCTGTGGTGCTAAGTCTTCTTCCTGCCCCTGCCCCTTCCCCTGCCTCCTGCCGGCTGAAGGGAATGTGCAGGGGCTGAGAGTCTGTGGGTCTGAAGGTCAAGTCTCTGCTGAAGGATCCCAGTGAGGAGGAACTCAGCAGTGACGACTGGAAGAGATGCAGAGAGGGCCGGGCCGCACAGAGACAGGTCCTCCTCGCAGGAAATCACGAGAGTCTGCGGCTGAGAGAGGCGGTCAAATAGTTAGTGATATACTGAATGAGATAAAGAGACTGTCCCAAAATAATGTTCCTTTACCTTCGGAGAAGAGGGCATCTTAGGGAGGAGGGTGGCTCCACTGCAGAAGATGATGTCCCTCATTTGCACTGGCTCTGGTTTCACTGACGCCGTAACATGGATGTGATAACCCTAAGAGAAAGAGAAGAGATTCAATAAACATCACGTGTCTTTGTAAAATCACTGCAAAAATCAATACAAGGCTTTTAAGAATGGACATTTGTATGACATGTGTACACCTGCCTGCATTTAGCTAGCTATGTCAGAAAGGTATGTGGTATCAAACGATATCTGTTCAGCTTGTGCAGGGTAGGGAGTGTAACAGAAATGGAAACATTACTGCCTCCCTAATTCAAGTGCCCATTAAACATTAACAGTGCATTAAGA